GCCGTGATATAACTGGAATAATGTTAAAAGCGGCGTTAAACCCAACTAACTCACTCACTCACTCACATATACATTTCCGGGGAGTGGAAAGTACACACCCATGTTTGATGGTGGCGAAATATGAACAAACACAAAGTGGTGATTCGATGGTGATGTATTTCTTACAGGTATCTTAGTTGTGTATTGGGCCTTAAGTTTGCAGTGTTCGGCGCCAGTTTTCGTCTTAGTTCAGTAACGTTTTAATAACATTTGTAATTTTTTGGTCAAATTCAATTTTCAAGTGTTTGCTTTCCTTCGCCCGCAGTTTATATGAGGACAAGTCTCATAAGAAAGGATTTTATATTCCCTTTACCCACCAAGTAAAGGTATTTTCTGAAAAAAAACCAGAACAGAAATAGTATATGAATCAGGCGTGTAAGATAATTTTATTTCAGGTGAATACTAGTAATACCGTACAGATATTCCAAGGTGTTGTAATTTGTGAGGGGACACTTTTCAAATGTCTCCACATAAAACTAAATATTGAAAAAAATGTAATTTGATATTAATGTAGTCATAATGAATAGTAAATATGAGCCGCTGATCATGAATTATTACAGTGCAGTGGTTGATAGCAACTTATGCCTGTCGTAAGAGCCAACTAAACGTAAACTGGGTTCAAAATGAATTCCATTTTCTTTTCGTGTGTCCAGCGTCCGAACAGTTAAGACAACTATACATTAACACGACGTTTTATCTTCATCCTAACATCCATCAGATTAATATTGTGATGGGCCTGTGAAGATCCGGGGTCGAATAGGTCTTCAGCAACCCATGCTTGCCATAAAAGGCGACTATGCTTGTCGTAAGAGGCCACTAACGGGATCGGGTGGTCAGGCTCGCTGACTTGGTTGATGCATGTCATCGATCCCAATTGCGTAGATCGATGCTCATGTTGTCAATCACTGGATTGTCTGGTCCAGACTCGATTATTTACAGACCGCCGTCAAGTAGCTGAAATATTGCTGAGTGCGGCGTTAAACAACAATCAAACAAACAAAAATATGTTGATGCCATCGCCACACTCTAACATTATTACAAATCTAGCAAAAATATTTGTACTATGTACATGGAAAGAAATGTACGGTTAACTGCAATTCTGCCTGTACCATAACGTTTGTACGAAAAGGCCTGGGGCCAAAAAGTACTGAAATGAATTGATTGATTGAAAGAGGCGACTAAATAGATCGGGTGGTCAGGCTCGCTGACGTGGTTGATGCATGTCATCGTATCCCAATTGCGTAGATCGATCCTCATGCTGTCAATCACTTGATTGTCTGGTAATGCCTCAATTTTTATTACAGCCCGTCAATTGCTAAGTGCGATATTAAACAAAAGAGAAAAGACCGTTCTTTTACAGAATGGGTTGCAGTTCATTTTTATTGTAAGGGATCACGTCAATTTACACACTAAAATAAATCCAATGTCCGGAATTATTCTTTAATGATGCATAAATTATATAAGTTTAACTGAAAATGTCAGCAGTGAAAATGGCGGGAAATCGTCATGTACCGATCCACCAGTTTTACAGCGAGGACGCAGAGATGGCGCGAGTTGTGGCGTCACGTGACTGTCATCGCCCACCACAGGCAGAGACAGCTGAGAGATCGTCAGTGGGTTTATTCCCTGGGACATATTCGTCAGGGTGGGTGGGGCATGTGTGGCAATTGGAGCGTGCATGTTACCTTGTGTGGGGAGTATAATGTTTACAGGCTGACTGACACATAGCAGTCAAGGGACATATTTGCCAGAACATTGTGAATCCGATTTCTATCGATTTACGTAGAATGGGTGTGTATAAAGATGGGCGTGGTTGACAGAGTGACACCGCAATACCTCACACCGCTCTGAAAACCCCACAGAAACTTGCCACAATATGTCTTTTCAGTGTACGTTTTTTTCATTTGAAAAGGGTTTGTGGATTTTTCAATAAAAATGGAAAGGAGCTTGTGTTAAGAATTAATTTACAAAAGAATGAGTGAGCGAAGATAAGCACCCTCGATTATCCAGACTAATATATTTCCATTCTGTTATGATAAATATTTGCACTGTTTGATAAACTGGATAATCGAGTCATATTCCAGCATCGACATACGCCACAGTAGAGGACAGGGTTTCACACATTGTACTCATGTGGTGAATCAGACCCGGGTCTTCAGTGTGAACGTTTGTTTGTTTGTTGTTTAACGCCGCACTCAGCAGTATTCCAGCTATATGACGGCGGTCTGTAAATAATCGAGTCTGGACCAGACAATCCAGTGATTGATATCATGAGCATCGATTCACTCAATTGGGATCGATGACATGCATCAACCAAGTGAGCGAGCCTGACCACCCGATCCCGTTAGTGGCCTCTTACAACAAGCATAGTCGCCTTTTATGGCAGGCATTGGTTGCTGAAGACATATTCTACCCCGGATCTTCACGGGCCCATCAAAATATTGAATTGATGGATGTTAGGATGAAGATAAAACGTCGTGTTAATGTATAGTTGTCTTAACTGTTCGGACGATGGACACACCAAAAGAAAATGGAATTCATTTTGAACCCAGTTTAAGTTTAGTCGGCTCTCACGACAGGCATAAGTTGCTATCAACCAATATTCAAGCTATATGACGGCGTTCTGTAAATAATCGAGTCTGGACCAGACAATCCAGTGATTGATATCATGAGCATCGATTCACGCAATTGGGATCGATGACATGCATCAACCAAGTCAGCGAGCCTGACCACCCGATCCCGTTAGTCGCCTTTTACGATAAGCACAGTCGCCTTTTACGGCAAGCATGGGTTGCTGAAGACCTATTCTACCCCGGATCTTCACGGGTACTAGTTCGGACAAATGGCGGTTATATTGTGCTATCCCACTGAGATACATATCATGTCGCAGTTAAACATGAATATCCCACACAGACACAGTATACTGACTCCGAGCCGAGCAGTTCTTGTTTTACCCCTTAATATCGAGCGCCAGGCAGGGTAACAACAAGTACCATCTTTTGACGCCTTTTTTGTATGACTTCGGCTCTCCGGTGAGTTGTTATAGCTAGAGGAAAAGAAGAAAAAATAAACAATTTGATTTCAAGGTTTTGACAAAGTATATTTCCAATTAAGACGGGAGTACGGGTGGCCAAGTCGTCCAAGGCGCTGCAATTTGCCATGCAGAGTTGCGTCCCTTAGGCATGCCACGATCCCGTGATCGTGAGTTCTAAAACCAGATTCACGTGATAATGATCACTGGTTTGTCAGCACCATACCCCTGCACGTGCGTTTCTCCTTACTGGTGACCATCTACGACCTGTTTCACTTCTGCTCTCCTCCCACACAATCGTGAGTGAGTGAGTTGGGTTTAAAGCCGCTTTTAACAGTATTACAGTTATATCGCGGCGTGTCAGCTTAATGTGGGAGGAAAGCCCGAAGTGATGCAGGTCTAAGACTTTTACCACTTCAGTGAAACCCTGACAAACCTAGAAACATAATCGGGGCGAATCGGGATTCGAACCAACAATCATAGGTTTCTGGCGCGCCCGAAGGGACGCAACACTGCACAGCGAATCGCGGCGCCTCAGACGACTGGGCCACCCGTGCCCCCACGATATGGCTGAAATACTGCTGATGTGACGTAAAGCTTAAACTCACTCACTCAATCCTCCCACACACAGCTGATACGACGTGATATAAACACGCTCACTCAAAAATGTAAGTTCAAGTTTCTTCAGCTTTTTTTGCCCAGAAAAATAAGAAACTCGGAATACTGAAAGATTCGTGAATACACTTGGGTGTTCTCTTTAACTCATTTTGCTCTTTTTCTGGTATTATAATAGTTATCAAATTTCAGATATATTTGAAAAGAAATGTCGTCATGTATAACTATATGGCATGAGTTAATCGATGGATTAAAATACATTCAACTGATAAATTTTGTCGATTTTTTTCAATTGGAAAAAAACATTTTGTTTCATTAGGAAAATAGAAAACCTGCTCGCTGACAAAGCGCTGGGGCCGTAGAACAAGGGAGCTAACTCCTACTATCGTAGAAGCCGATCACGTTGAAGCCATATTTCTCCATCGGGCGCCAACTCTTCAAATTCTCAGGGGAAAATAGTTTGCACGAGAAAACAAAATCGGAAAACAATAAATAAAACTGTAAAATTGGAAAGAACACAAACAATATGCTGTTGTTTAACCGCAATTAATCGTGTTCTGTCTCATCACGTAAGAATGTTTTGAAATGAACAAAGACGCTTGTCTTGACCATTCCCAACACTAGGTCGGAGAGGCCACGTGAAAATTAACATGGAAGGATTCACCTGAGAACGACGGGAACAATTATCAGATGTCTTGTGCGTATGTTGTATATTATAAACCATACATCATTGCCAGTGCTCAAAGGATGTATGCACGTTTATTCAATCGAAAATCAAATAAATAATTTGCAACTGTCTAAATAATAAACACATATAGTAAGAGTCTAAATTTATGAAATATCGTTATAAATATTTATCAATTATCGATTTTAATTTTAAATAACCAGTTTGATGACCACAATTTTTTCATACATCGTATAATATTTGTAAACTACACAACTGATAATTTTATTTTCGTATTACTTTCTTTTTGTTGTTGTTATTTTGTATTTTTTATGAAAAATGAACATTGGTCATTCAGTAGGAAATAGAAATAATACGTAAATATTATTTTAATAAGAAATAATAAATATTATAACATTGTGCATTAAGTGGGGCTAGATGAATGGTAAAAACACTGTTACAACTGAATATGAGTAATACATAATTGTCCGGTCAATTCTGTAAATTTACATCTTACGAATAACTTTATAACAAGGTGCTATATCGCTTACAACCAGGAAATTGTGTCGTGTAAATACGTTGTTTACAACAGACGCCTATTTGCATGAGCCAATAGATAAAAATAGCCGTGCGGTATATAGGATCCGTCCCAGCATTCAGTCGATAGTGCTCGCCATTTCCACTTCGGGAAAGTTAAAGTCTAATGAAAAGAGTTGTACACTTAAGTGATATTTTAAACCGCTCGCTGGTTATAAACAGCCTTTAAAGGTCACGAGGCTGTTCAATTTTCATGTAAGTATTTTTTGGTTAAATTAGATACAATCTGTTGCCTTTTCTTTTCGTTTTGCGAAGAAATATCAGTGTGCTGTCAAAATTTTGCGTGGGCCGTTCGCCAAGTTCCTATTTCGACTGGGACAGGAAAAAATCATAGGACCTGTAACTCAATCTGATTCGATTTTACAAAAACCTGACAGTTACTTAACTGTCAAAACAGTTCTTGACTTCCTCCGATACAGCGAGTCATTCACTGGATTATTTAGGTCACGTCGAACGGTTTTGGACACCGGTTCAACTTTTCAATGGAATATTTCATCAAAATCGAAAGCTTTTGTCCCAAAGCAGAAGTTTCTATCTAGCCACTGCGACAGTTCTGTCTAGTCTCGATATGATGTTCGTGCATTCCGTTAGTTGATGCAGTGCATGTAACGTATGAGTTAATCAGGGCGTTGTCTTTGCAGTTTAGGCTGATTAGTTGATGTAGGGTAGGCCTATCACTGGTTCACAATGAAGTCAAAGCTAATAGTGATACATTATTTGAGAAGCTTGTTGACATGGGCTCATTTTGATCCATCTGCACACTGATTGTATTGTTAGTCAAAATTATTTTGATGATTAATATTTTTTTATGTAGATCTAAATGTTATCAACTGTTTGGAGCAGAGCCTTTTCACAAATAAGGTATTCTTCTCACGATGTATCGGACCAATTCATTTTCTAGGACATTGAATTATCGTCATCCAAAATGTCCTGCAGATATTTTTCATATGGGTAGAGATTATAGAGTAATGTCCTAGCAAAAATAGATAAAAAATGAAATATCCTACAGACATTTGTCTCCAGGAAAATCCCTGCTTACAGATAATTTCAATTAGTGTGAAACCGAAAACTACCTCATTTGACTTGTTGACACTAATTGTCCTTCCTGCTTTCAAGTTTGTTGAAATTTGAAGGTAGATTAAATAAAGGCATGAGTTTGAAAATGTCATTCAAAATTAGGGAAATAAATCGCCACTTGTCCAGAGCAATCAGCCTAGGTCATATTAATGTGTGAGTGGCTAGGTTCTTGAAGGTGTGAGATGGTATTCGTGGTTTAATAGGAATGTGATGTATTTGTTATCCAGTTTAACTTCCTCGGATGACATTTTTGATATTGGAGAGTTGAATTTTTCACACTTGCAGTATTTTCTTCACAAATGAAGCTTTTCCACTTAACACACTTTCTGTGTCCAGGTAAATATTTTACTCCTTACAACAGTATTTGCTATTTGAGAACAAGTTTATTCATCATCCTTTGAAGCTTATGTGTCATTGTATGCCCACCAATTCTCGAAAAAGTGCAGCACTTGAAATGCAGTGTAAATGTAACCTTGTTAGTCAGAACCCTAATAGTACAGAAACTGCACGTTACTTCCAGTTACCATGGGAACGGTTATATTTAATTAATGGGTAATTTGTTTTCTCTTACCTGGCATGTTAACAATGGTTAAATACTTGTTTATTTGTCAGTAATGTTTTGATAACTTTACATGTTCCCTGCTAGAGTAGTGTACAACTGGAAAACTATGCATACCCAGCAATCATGGGAACATGCATTTTGCCTGTCTGTCATAAAGTGGAATGGCATCTCTTAATGTCAATATACATTGTTTGTTTGACTTAAGATGTATGTAATGCACAGAGCCTAAAGCTTTATTTGGCAATGTGGTGACTAACAAACAAGTCACATCGCAATCTTCGTTTGTTTTCTAATTGTGGTAAATGATAAACATGGCAGAAAGATAAATTGGTTGTATACTTATCATGCTTATCCCTCAGGGAATATAGTTTGATGTACCTCTGTGTGGCCGTGAGGGGCGGTCGGGTAGCCTAGTGGTTAAAGCATGTGCTCACCACGCCGAAGACCCGGGTTCGATTTCCGACATGAGTACAATGTGTGAAGCCCATTTCTGGTGTTCCGTGCCGTGAAATTGCTGGAATATTGCTAAAAGTGGCAAAAAACCTCAGTCACTCACTGTGGCGTGTACACGAACCCACAACTTACAGTATCAATGATTCATCATCTGGAAATTTGTTAATCCAGATGAACTTAATAGAGCTAGTACTATATAGAATAACTAGGCTTCAGTTTATATTGCCCATGGCAACCAGTGTAGAGTGTGTCCCCCTCTGCATTGCTAGTTGGGAATCCCAGGTTAAATACAACCTATGCTGATCTTAAATGAAGAGTTAATGGATGGGATGTTCAGACTCGATGACTTGGTTGATGGTGTATTGTCGTACCCAGAATGTGTGGATAGTTGTTCATAATGAAAGCACTGTGAAGATTCGGGTTAGAACAGGCCTTCAGCAACCCATGCCACTAAGAGGCCACTAATGGGATCAGGTGGTCAGACTCGCCGACTTGGTTGATGCATGTCATCATATCCCAATTGTGTAGATCGATGCTCATAATGTCAATCACTGGATTGTGTGGTCCAGACTTACTTATTTACAGACCGTCATCATATTGCTGGAATATTGCTGAGTGTGGCGTTAAACAACAACAAACATACAAATAATAATGTAAATCACTGGATTGTGTGGTCCAGACTTACTTATTTACAGACCGTCATCATATTGCTGGAATATTGCTGAGTGTGGCGTTAAACAACAACAAACATACAAATACTAATGTAATTCACTGGATTGTCTGGTCCACTATCATATATATATATATATTTATATATAGCTGTGATATTGCTGAATGCGACATAAAAAAATATCACACACACATACTGTATCTGTTATTTACTTCAGTGTAATCAGTTCTGCATAGCCTGCTTGCAAATTCTTGCATCCATTTCCGTTTGAGATCTATTCATATATTCGTCGATGGGTTCAGTTAAAGGTTGTTTGTACTCTCTTGTCCCAGTCAAATATTTGGGAAATAGGTGTTAGAACCAGTTGACAAATTGCATGCGTTTCCCTGAGTGCACTTTGCCAGTCAATGATCATCTAGCATTAAACTGGGATCAGGCTGGTTTTGGCAAGTGCACTATTTTGTTGTTGCTACAAGATGAGGGATGAGTTTGTAACAGGTCTTTGAAAGGCATTTAGAACTGATTCACATGAGGGGATTTATGGATGTCAACTTCTTTATTATGAGGAACACAATGTTTCGGAGTATATACTTACTCCTTCATCAGGTGAATAAATGCTATGAGGCAGAGAACATATACTTATATACCTGTAAGAACATCAAAAGTAATAAGATAACAAAGGTGGAAACTTAGCAAGGGGGAGCCAGCTGATAATTGGCGCTGATAGGCGATTAGCAATGGACAAATGGAAGCCAACACTTACCTTATCACTGATTGGTAATAGGCAATGGACGAACAGTGGTAACTAGCCCTCCATTTGTCCATTGTCAGTTTCATTCTATTGCCTATTATTAGAATGAAATTGACAATGGACAAATGGAAGCCATCTAAATAATTATCACAGACAAAGATCAAAGCAATAAATCCCAAGCACTAGGCACCTGATAAAGGAGTAAGTATATTCTCCGAAACATTGTGTTCCTTATAATAGCGAAGTTGACATCCATAAATTCCCATCTTCAGTTTGAAACTGCCTTGAAAATGCTGCTGCTCGATATGACTGCTGACATTGTGATTGTACATATGTCATGTATTTGTACTGTGAGTTGGTATGTCGAAATCCCAATCTTATAATAGATCAGAATGAACATGTAATCCTTGACGAGTCTGATCGGAATGCCTTTGGGGTAGATTTAAATTCTGGTATAAACTGTTGTTGCACTCACGTCATATGTGGCCCGGTAGTTTACGATGCTGAAGTGTTCCTTAGTCATGGCAGGATAAACTTCTCTGTGGTTCGGGGCGGTCGGGTAGCCTAGTGGTTAAAGCGTTCGATCATCGCGCCGAGGACCTGGGATTGATTCCCGACATGGGTACAATGTGTGAAGCCCATTTCTGGTGCTCCCCGCCGTGATATTGCTGGAATATTGCTATAAGGGCGTTAAACCATGCTCACTCGCTCACTCTCATTGGTCAAGATTTATACTGATTATGAGCATTAGTTTGTCAGCATGAAACCTATCTACCAGCTGTATCCCTAATAACTTTCCTGTCGCATTTGTTGTACACCATTAGCTATGATAATGTTCCGATAAGAGTAAGTCCCAAATTGTTCATTGTTTATCTTGCTGAAGTGAAAGATCAATTTTGTTTTCAGATTAAGTATCTCACTTCATCACAAAACTTAATGATACTTGTGTATGTGTATATATAAATATATATGAGTGTCCTCTGTGGGGAAGTAAGCTGACTGCTGGCGCTACTTAAAACGAAAGGTATAATGTAAATATATATGGAAAATGTGGCACGTACACATGTAGTTGAACATATGAGCAAAGATCACCATGAATGTTGTGACATAATGGCATACTATTGACCAAGCTGCAAGGTGTGGCCGCATCTAGACCCACCCTCTCCTAGGCATCTAGACCCACCCTCTCCTTGGCATCTAGACCCACCCTCTCCTTGGCATCTAGACCCACACTCTCCTTGGCATCTGGACCCACACTCTCCTTGGCATCTAGACCCACCGTCTCCTGGGTATCTAAACCCACCCTCTCCTGGGAATCTAGACCCACCCTTTCCTGGGTATCTAGACCCACCCTCTCCTTGGCATCTAGTCCAACCCTCTCCTTGGTATCTAAACCCACCCTCTCCTGGGTATCTTGACCCACCCTCTCCTGGGTATCTAGACCCACCCTGTCCTTGGCATCTAGTCCCACCCTCTCCTTGGCATCTAGACCCACCGTCTCCTGGGTATCTAGACACGCCCTCTCCTGGGTATCTAGACCCACCCTCTCCTGGGCATCTAGACCCACCCTCTCATTGGCATCTAGACCCACCCTCTCCTGGGTATCTAGACCCACCCTCTCCTGGGCATCTAGACCCACCCTCTCATTGGCATCTAGACCCACCCTCTCCTGGGCATCTAGACCCACCCTCTCATTGGCATCTAGACCCACTCTCTCCTGGGCATCTAGACCCACCCTCTCCTTAGCATCTAGACCCACCCTCTCCTGGGCATCTGGATCCACCCTCTCCTTGGCATCTTGACCCACCCACTCCTGGGCATCTGGACCCACCCTCTCCTGGGTATCTAAACCCACCCTCTCCTTGGCATCTAGACCCACCGTCTCCTGGGCATCTTGACCCACCCTCTCCTGGGCATCTAGACCCACCCTCATCTGGTATCTTCAAAGGGTTCATTTTCTTCTGGTTTAGGGGGCGGTGGAGTAGCCTAGTGGTTGAAGCATTTGCTTGTCACGCCGATCAATGTGTGAAACCCTTTTCTGGTGTCCCCTTCGTGATGTTGCTGAAATATTGCTAAAAGTGTAACACCATGTTCGCTCGCTCGCTCGCTCGCTCACTCACTCACTCACTCACTCACTTTTCTGGCTCTTGTCATTTTGAGGATCAAATTCCATTCCTTATTATGGGGATTCTGGGATAGATAAGATTTCTAGCAACTATGCTTTTCAATTGAAGCGACAATGTGGATTTGGTGGTCAGGTTCAGTGACTTGGTTGATTGTGCACCTTAAGGGTATAGCCCATTCGGTCAGTCACCGGATTGTCTGGCCACGACTTGGTTGTTTACAGGCTGGTGTCTCAAAGCTGTAATACGGCTTGTCTCATGAGCTTGATTCAGTAAAACCTCTTTAGTCTAGTAAGCTTAGCTGTGACAGTAAATCTACTAAGGTGTCACGATACACCTGCCTCATGCATTGATATCTCCCGAAACTTACGTCATGATAGCAGCCTTCGAAATTCACACTAGTCATCTCGCCAGAGGCTACTAGGACAAATGAAAATCCAGTGATGGTAGTCACCATTGACTGGTAGCATTTGAGGGCTACAATCTGAACCAGTTCTCAATGTCAGCGGTAGAAACTAACATTTTTAGGCCTCTGGCCCTTATGATGATAACATATAACAAAACCCTTAAAAATGGCAAATTTCTACTAGTCCTTTTGATAACTTAATCTTGGGTAGTTTGGCAAGACTGGTACCAATTTCTAGTGGCTGAATGTTCAATTTTGCTACGAACTGAATAAAACTGACAGAAAATGTTAGCATAGTAAACCTTTTTGTTGTGTTCAAGCAGGACTAGCTACAAACTCTGAGGACAAGTGATATATGGTTTCTGTGAGACTTCTGTACTAATTCAGAGCACAGAACCTCTGAGGCTGAGATACATATCGCAACATTTAATTTGCACCATTCATGTTTCATGTGGTCAGGCTTGCAAGTGGTTGTTTCTGTCAACCTGGTTATTTTAAAATCATTTCCAGGGGTCCATTAAACTGCTGGCCCATTGGCCTGTGGCCAGTTAAAATTACAAAGGGCTTGCTAAAACGTAAAGAAGATGAACATCTGGCTAGTCAAACTTTCACCCCTTCTCCATGTAGATTTAATATTTTTAATCGGCTAATCATTGTGGAATGACAACCGGCCACCATTTTGTAATGTTGTGTACAATAACTTTATTTTCTCATAAATCATCATGGGGTCACGGGTGGCCCAGTCGTCTTAGGAGCCGCAATTCGCTGTGCAGAGTTGCATCCCTTGGGCACGCCAGAAACCTATGATTGTGAGTTCGAATCCCGGTTCGCCCTGATTATGTTTCTAGGTTTGTCAGCACCATACCCGTGCTCGTCTGAGACCTGCATGACTTCGGGCTTTCCTCCCACATTAAGCCGACACGCCGACTGTTAAAAGCAACGTTAAGCCCAACTCACTCACTCACTCATAAATCATCATAAAATGAGGCAAATGGAAAGCAAGATTTAATCTCAAGAGTGCAGGAAAAAAACATTTTAGGGACGAGATATTTCCAGAGCCCTGCCAAGTGGCTATGGGACCTTTAGGTTTGGCCACTTCACAGCCTGCACCAGTTGGTTTGGAGATAGCCAGTGACGTTTAAAAGGACCAAGGCCTGCTGGCTACAAACAAATTTGTTGGTAAATCTACCCCTGATTTCTAGTATTACAGAGCTCCAGATAAGCTTTTGGTGTTGTGGGTATTTTACCCATGCATTTTAAAATCATTGGGTATCAGTAATTCTATCTGCGTATTCAAATTTCTGTTACCCACTAGTTTTTACACATGTGGGTATTTAAGTTAAATATTTAAAAACACTATTCATCTAGTCCCTGCAAACTGGTGTCGTGTGGGTTCGAGAGCTTTATAGGACTCAAAAATACCACGATACTTCCACAAGAAAGTGTGATGCCAAATAATCATGATGTAACTGTCATCGTGGAGTTTGGCAAGGTTGACGGAATGCCCGTTTATAATTTCAAAATAAGTTGCTGATTTGGTAATCAAATACGCAAGGTTACTTCACAATATTTTGATGATACGCACAAGTTTTATTTTTGTAGCGTATCTGTAATGTTCGTTGCGTACTTGATACGCTTGGATTATATTTTACTGTGTATTTCTGCATTTCCGATGCGTATTTCACGCAGATACGCAGCTTATCTGGAGCTCTGGTATTAAGTATGGTATGCAATCAAATTTTGCTTTTTATTTTGTGTTGGACAGTGAGGCAGTGTTAGAAATTGGCACTAGTCCTGTAGTCCTTGCCAAACTGCCCAATAGTTAAGGTATCATAAGGACTAGTAGAAATTTGCCATTTTTAAGGGTTTTGCTATATGTTATCATGGTAAGGACTAGTGGATAAAAATGTTAGTTTCTACCACTGAGTGAGGTATAAGGATCGGCCAATAAATCGGCCTTGTGCAGAACTCCCTATCTTTTACTTGTAGAAACTTGAAACAGCCTTAAAGAAGGATTTTGTTCATGGACAAACATATCGTGTATCATCAGGTGTAAAACGAAGATGGAGATGCATCGTTGAGTTGTGAGTCCTGACACCCTCAGTGAGGTAGGAGTGACTTGGTGGGAGATCACCAGGGAAGTTCATGCTGCCACCTGGCTAATTGATATGTAATTATTCCCTTACTGTAATGCATGCTCACACGGTGGTAAGTAGAAAAGATGGCCGTTACTTTCATCACATATTATGCTGATGATCAGTGTTCTCACTGGCTTTTGAAACTGGCAGTCCCAGTGGAATGGCAACTCTGAAAATTACCAGTCCAACCCAATTTTTGTCAGTTCAAACTTTGAACAAATTCAGGTGGTATGAAATTTAACTGGTTTTAATTCTTTCAGCAACAATTTTAATGTAGTATATTTCTGAAGGAAGTTATTTAGATTTACAGATCATTTACACATTTTTATTTTGAATATTTCACTTTGATTGATACCTAAGTCACTACACATAGATGTTTAACCTTGAAGCAAAGCAAAATATTAGTTTCTTGCACGAAAAATAGACAATGGGAAAACCCTGATGATAACAGACAAGCTGACTTTGTAAGAAAAATATACTTATTTGATTATCGACAGTGTATTATTCAACAACAAAGATTTACAAGATACCTTATTTGCTGGTCCACAGGGAGTAGCAGTCACAAGATTTCCCTGTCCAAGCCTAGTTTTACTGGTAAAAAAATGGTAATTACCAGTAAACGGGAACACTGGATGATGTTGAATTGAGTCAGACATGCTCACATTATCAACCTCTTTTACCCTGGGATGACCATGACCTCCTGTCCATTAGTTCGAGACAAGTGAAAATCTAGAGGGACTTGTAATTGTCCCCACATCTAAAAAATCAGAAATGAGCTGTATTCCCGATGTGAATCTTTGACAGCTCTTGTTTTGTATGCTGCTGAAGCTTAAAACCTCATTCACTCACTCACACATGCTGACTCTATCAACTGCTGGTTGTCCGGGTCAAAGTTTTCATGTCACTTTGACCTATGGCATATTTCGTTGTACCTACTATCTGCGACTTCAACCATTTGTCCAAATCCCAAATGTAGTAGTAGGGTCTAGTAGTAGTAAGCTTAGCCTATCATAGATCATAATACCCGTGAAGGTCTGGGTTAGAATTGATATTCAGCAACCTCTGCTTGTTGTAAGAGGCAACTTACGGGATAGGGTGGTCAGACTCGTCGACTTGGTTGATGCTTGATATTGTTTCCCAATAGGTCGATGCTCATGATGTCAATCACTGTATTGTCTTTGCCAGACTGGATTATAGATGGATGACTTTCATATAGTTGGAATAATGGTGATATACAGCGAATAAAAGTACATATAATTACACTTACTTGTACTGAAAATGATGGTAAGAGCTCTGTTAGGGCAAGTGGATATAAACGTTTTTGGCTATTTTAAAGCTCTGCACGCTAACGTCGAACCCATTCGACAGAGGTGTCCATCCCCGTGCATCTGATGTCGAACCCATTCGACAGGCGAATAGCATAACAACACCCCAAAATAAAACTCGCCATATCTATTTACCAAGAAGGCTTTGCGTAACATTTAAATTACGTATGACATGCATAAATGCTCAGCTTGCTCAATATCAAAACGTTCAGTCATTTATTTACCTCAAAAAGAAAATACCGCGAGTTAAAAATGTTTCGGCCAAACTTCTCGGCACACAACTACCAGAAACGGCCATTGTTGACTTTTGGCACTTCACGTTGAGCGGCATGCAGTCCGATATTTTCTTTATAATTTCATCATTTTTCCTATTCGATCATAATTTTTGGTTTGCTGACGAAAGGAAAACACTCATGTTCCTTTATTTCTAAAAATTCGCAACTTTCGGTGTAACTAATTGTAAACAAAAACAATCTGAATCGTAACATCATCGATTGGATGGAACTTGTACGATCATGGCAACGGCGGTAAACAAACAACTCCACATGCATAGTTATCCCGTTAAACTATTACAATCATTTTGTTACATCTAACTTAATTTTCTAGAATTATTGACACGTATGTATAAATCTTTGTAAAAAGAATTTCATTTTTAAAGAGTTTGCAAATGATTTTGTTTGATAAACTTTCCGACACATTGACAAGCCGACAAACGTCAGAGATACGTTTGGGCGTGGCCTAACTCGCGAATTGTTGAGTTTAACAAAGTCAACAAACGCTGCGAAAAATGACAAATATTGGATGATACGCAAAATCTGAACTGATATACATTCTAGGTAAACCATTCAATAGCAAAATATTGCATTTTACGAGAAATAATCAAAATACTTGCAATTTTAGCTATCATTTCTGAAACCGGAAGCACGTACCGCATGTGACAC